GCCGTGCTGATGTTGCTACATGCCTTACTTCTTGCTTATCTCACACTGCAAATTTTTTCTAAGCTCTATACTAAACATTAAATCTGTTACAAAAAAAGAACTAAACAAAATGAAAACAAAATGATCAGCTTTAAAAAAGGGCTCGCAACTGGAAAAACTGAATGAAAAAAAGAATGTTAACAACAAATACTTTTTCACAACAAACCCAGTTTTGTGAAATCAGAATCAACGTTGAGTTTAAGCAAGTGAATGAGCCAATTGGAGTAAAGTGCCATGCAGATTTAAATTTTTCCCACTTGTGATGAATGCAGCTATTGATTCTTTTTGCATGCTAGCATGCTAGTTAACATTCATGTCAGTCAGCTGTTGGCTCTCACTCTGGCCAGTAGAAAATGGCCACAAACTACATGAAAAGTGCCGGAGAAGCATGAAAAAATCGATTATTTCCACTATCGATGGGAGTTGGGAAAATCAATGTCATTCTTGGCCTTCCTGCTAACTTGGAGCATGTGCATGTAAATTTTGGTGAAAATCCATCGAAAATTGCGGCCGTGCATTCGTTACACGCATACACACATCCTGCCTTTTGTAGATAGAAATACTAAAGGTTAATAAAGGTTAATAAACTCTATCCAAGATATTCCAGTCGACTTAAAATGCTTGTTGTGCTACAAATAAATGTGTAAATACTAATTAATGAAAGAAAATTGGATTGTTTGATCATGACGTAAAACTTGGCAATAGTTGAAGTATTTAAGAACACTTTGATTTAAAAGTTGAAAATAAAATACTTGTACATTTCAGTGTATTTATCAGCATGTTGCAAATAATTTTCAAATCTCATAAAAAAAGATAATTTTGTCCTAAAAATTAATTTTCTGTAATCAGGAAAAATCATTTTCTGTTAAATATTGGAAGCTCATTTTAATTTTATTGAATGAGAAGAAATATTTATTGCTTCTTGAATAGCCACTTGTAGAATATTTCTCATTTTTCTACTAATGAGTTTTTGGCTTCTGACAATCTTGAAGTGTAGACACTTTGCTGGCTTTACTCTTCATTCTCTGCCTTGAAGATAATTCCATAACAACAGCAGAGTTGTTCATGACTGCTTAAATTGCAGACTTTCATTGAATTTCTTGCAAAAAAAAACTAGTAAAGTTCATTATATTTCCTTTCTTTCTTGAAAGTTTCCTCAAAACAATCAAGGAGAGACATTTTAAAGGAGCAAACAAAACAAAGTATTTTCAGAAATACTTAAATGTTGATTGATGGTTTGCTTATGTATATTTTGCATGGGAAATATAATAACTGACTGTAATAAATCTTTTGCATTTTTGTATCCTAGAAATTTACAGGTGCCCATTGTATCATAGAATTCTACATTTTCTAGGAATTAATTGAGAACAGTCTCTGAAATGGTTTTACCTTGGATACATTTCCATCTACAATATCATCAGTTTATAAGTAGTTCTAAAAGTAGTAAGAAAAATGTCTCAAGGCTGACAGTTTACTTTTATTGAATGCTTATAAATATATTTTCTTATTTGTTAAATACCAAAACATTTCATTTTTAGCATTTAAAAAAAAATATCTGCCCAAAACATGTTTTCTTATCTTTTTTGCCATTAAAATAATTAAAATGTAAAAAGAAAGCCAGTGATTAATTACTTCAAAAGAATGAAGCAATTAAAATGTACATTAAAGTATTGATATTTACTTAGCATGTCCTACTTTGGCAGAAGACCAAAAATGTGATGCCTCATGTTAGGATTCAACTTGATGTCTAAGTAATAGTCAGCTGGATTAGTTTACTAATTCTTACTTATTAATATTTACTATCTTTAGTCTGCTAAAAGGCCTCAAATTTGGAGTATCAAGCAAGTATTGAAATCATTGGAACAGAAATGATTTGCAACCTAGCTTATTAAATATTGATGTATACTTACCTAATCACTGTAAAAATTAAACTATTCCTAAATATGTAAATCACTTAGTTTCAATTTGTTCCTATTCAATTTTTAGAAGTTAAATTTATCTAAATTTTTGTCTCTGCCCTGAAACCCATTTCATGAGAATATTAATGTGTTTTAAATAAACTTACAATAAATTATCACTGTGTACAGTTATATTAAGAATTACACTCTGTTAGATTTTATTATGCAAGTCAAAGTTTTCACAGTAAAACTGGTATAAAATTTTCTATTTTTATATGTGCAATATCCCATGTGAGTTACAGCATATATAGTATCTATCATTATTAAAAAAAATATTGATAAGTTGTTTTCTGAGTATCCGGTTTTATTATACCAGCAAAGTTTCACATGCATTTTTATTTACAAATATATCTAAAATGTATTGTCTGTAATACATTTGATGAACACAATATCACATTTTTCATGTAAATATGGATTTACTTTTTGAAACATTAATATTGCTAACTTTCATACTCTTCAATTTGAATATTATGTGCAACATTTTTTTCTTCCCAAAGATCTTTGCTTGAATATTGTTTTCCATCTTTATATACATTGCTTTTAATGATGAACCATTTGTTTAATATGTGGAGAGGCTGAGGAGATCATTCTATTAATTTGATGTCTTTGAAACATCTTTTAGTAATAGTCAAATTTACAGAAAGTAAATGAACATTGTCTTAAATGAATATACTCTTTAGCTTATTGCTTATAACCTGTACCACTCAAGAAACATCTTATTCAAGAACTTAAAAAATAATTCCCTGCATTTATCCTGATAGCATCAACTCTGAAAAGGTGTGTAATTTTATTGCCTTCAATATTATCCCCCAAATTACTTTACCTCACACTTATTTTCTTCTAAGTTGTGTCAGCAATTTTGATGAAGAACCCATTCTCTAGCCCAGCCATCATATTCTTCTGAAGTAGTTTTACATTCATCACTAACAATTCAGAAATCAATTTTTCATGTAATTCTTTATCAAACTTGCATGTTTCTATTTCTGGTATTTATTTAAATTTGGTAGTTTGATAGCTTTCATGCCTTTATCCAATGTTGTACATAGTCTGCACCTTTTCTTTCTGTTCAGATTTAGAAATTCATCTTCTTCAAATATTTTCTTGCTGATTAGTCTCCATTTCTTGATTATTACTCTGAATTATTCTCAAGTCTTTTTTGTGGCATTCTTAAAGCCAATTTTTCTTGTTATCTTGCCAAAGTTTTAATTTTTTGATTGCTGTTCTGTGGTCACTGTTTAACCTTTTTTTCAAAGTTTTATCCATTACTCTTTACATTACTTTATATAGGCACGTGGATGACTGGTTAGAATGTTTGCTTTCTGACCATGAGACCCATGGTTGATTTGTCAGGAAGGTTACTTCCTGATCTTATCAGTTTGGAGAAAGTGATCCTAGCATGCAGCACCTTTGGAAAGTGGCTCATCATGATTATAAAGTGCCTATATAAGTAATATAATACTGTAAAGAGTCATCATGACTGAGGGTTTGAGTATGCTGTCCTTGTTTAGATTGTTGATTACACTCAATAATTTCTCTCCCAAAAACTGTGAAGGGATTATGAGAGAAAACACAAAAGATCTGTGGTTCATATAACATCAGGACAATTTTAAAAAGTGGTTCAACACTTCACAGACACCTCTTTTGGGTAAGACCCCACTATAGAGGAGAACATGGCTAAGGACAGTGTGTACACTATCCTGTGTAGCAGTGTTAAGAAATACAAATGAGAAACGAGCCTCCCCCTTAAGGTAAGACTGCAAGAACATCATAAGATGGTAACACAATGTGAAATAGAAAAATCAGGTATAGCTGATCTCATGTGTTGTGAAAAGGGAGATCACCACACTCTGTGGGATGAGGTTGAAATAATAGACAGAGAACATCACTTGAAAATATGCAAACTTAAGGAATTAGCATATATGCTAAGCTACAGAAATCTCATGAGCTGACCAAGCATAGAAATGAATACAATATGAGAATCAGTAATAAGGGGTGCTAGAGAAAAACAATGAATAACAACACAAAATTGCAATATAAGCCCTGGTAAAAAAAATGCAATAATAATAATGGAAAAATTGAAATATGAGCACTGGTAAAAAAAGATTCTGAGACATTAGGTTTATAAGTCCCAGAAATTTATACATGAATGTTCTCAATGACACATGACCTAGTAGGTAAAGGTGTTGGTTAGATCCAGCGACTAGACCCAAAAAGTTGTGTGTTAAAAAAAAAAAAAAAAAACTTAGAGAGTTAAAAGGAAATAACAGACATCCAGAAGAGGCATGACAATCTACCTCAGTGGATGAAATAAAGGGTTTGATATGAAATTACAATCAGTTGAAACATTGTGAATATGAGGATAACAGTCTGAATAATGTAAATAATGTTAAATCTGTGTGATAAAATTACCTAACATAAATATATAGTGGTCCTGCTAAGCTCTTTTTTCTCTATCCTTCTGTAATTCATTTTTATTGTATTTGCTTAATAATAGTGTGGTTTGTAGTATGCTACACAGAGTTCACCTGGGGACTAAAAGGCCTTCATGCATAAGGAGACAAACATTGCTTTTCAAATTCGTCCAAATGATCAAACATCAGGAATTATTTAAAATTTTTTTGTTCTGCTGAGAACTTTTCAGAATTTTCTTATAAAACAGAACAATAAGAAGACAATGAAAATATAAGCAGAAATGAAGAGGAAAGTATATTTTAAAAGGCATTAGAAGATACCAGCCCACCAAGAATAAGGCTCATAATTCAGATATAAAACAAATATTAATGAAAAATTATAGCAGTTTAAATTGAGCCCAAAATTTATGATTTCAAAAAAAATGCGGCTATGTTAAAGCACTCATATTTGAAATTAAAGGTTTCATTTTTTTCTATTAAGTTTTCAGTTGCTGGCAAGTTTATTTTGCTTCCTACAGGTTTGTATTTGAATCAGAACTGATCTCCTTTGCATAGCTTATTGACTGATGATAGATTATTTCTTATTTTTCAGAACAATCAAACAGCCATACGGAATATGAACCATAAAATCAATAGACTTGACCAAGATGCATTAAAACAGGAAGGAATGCTTTACAGTCAGGTAGGTGTTGAGAAATGGTTTCTCAAGAATTAGCATGAGCATTGGGAATCAATCCTCAGCTGACACTTCTCCATTGCACTAAAAAGAAAAGAAATTTTAGGTTTTTCTATGATGTCTGAAGGAATGCAGATATAATGTTTGGCCCTTTATTATGATCTTATATTACAGTATGGTTTTTCTAATGTATATGTTTATCTTAATATTTGTGTTGGTTTTGATTAATGATGATTCACTGCTGCATTGTTATGGCATTGTTGCCTGGCTGTACTGGACCAATTTAAAAAAAATATTAAGTTGCCATTTTCTGAAAATAAATGACCATAAAGACTGATTCAGATGGTGACTTCTCATGAGTCTTGCCATCTTGGTTTCAACAGGATACATTGCAGTAAACTCTAGGTTAGACAACACCTCCAGTATAATATTATCAGTCGTGACCTGGTATCAATGTCCCATCACCACAATGTACCTTCCCTGTGCCTATTCTACAAATATTTATGTGGCAATTGTTCTGATCCGCTATCCTCTTTGGTACCTTGACTTCATGAATTTAAACATAGTACTTGATTGGCAGTTATATCTCATCATTTTACTGTTGAAATTGTTAAATGTAGTCATAAGTTCTATTTTATTAGTTTCTTCTCTTGCACTTCTCACTTCTTGAACCATCTTACATCTTCTTGCTTTCCTGGTAACTGCAATCTACAAAAATTTAAATGTAGCTTCAGTCATCATCTTCTGTCACCTTTGATCCCATCATCTTGTCCTTTCTCCTTGCTAATGTCTATTCACTTTTCATCACTTTGTTATTTCTCCTCAGTAAGCCCTTGCATCTTAGTGGATTTATCCTTTTGTTTGGGGGTGAAATGATTAAAAAATAGCAATAAGTATAGATTAAAAAACAGGTTGTATTATATGCTGTTATATGTTTATACTGGTTTGGAAATCACAAAGCATTATCTAGTTTATAGCAAACACAATGGACAGATATTTCATGGTGTCTTCATCAACAGCAGGCAATGTAAGTTTTGTAAAAATGTATAAGTACATCTATAGTGATATTAAATGTTAATGGTGCTTTGCTTGTGTATTAGATTGTATATTTAGGTTTATTTATATGAATTTCTATAAGAAATTATGCATAAATTTGTATAGAGTGTAGATTTCTTTGATAGTCCTTACATTTAGAACAAAGTATTTCTGAAATTTGTTTTAGTTTAATTATTTTATGTAGGATCTCAAAAATCCTTCTGATATTATTCTGCATTGTTCATGTATTTATTATCTAGATAAACTCAATATTTATCTAAATCTCAATTGCAGTTGGTAATGAAGCTGATTGCTTCTAATTTTATGAACCTCAGCTGGTATTCCATTGAATAATGTGGCTTCACTATTTTTCAAGGTTTTGGATGGTTTCCTCGATTATATAAAATGTTGGTATTGAGGGAGTTGTCAATGCATTGCTTTGGCTTTTCTGCTGATTCCATTCTGGTCAAATGTGATAATTTGATTTAGATCTTCAAAGTGGTTTCTTCATCTAGAGTCCATGCCAACACTGGACAAGAGGCATTTGCAGCCAAAACACAATTGTGCTGCCATCTGAGACTACCTATCATGAATGCAGAATAACTTTAAAATCCAAGATTGGGCTCAGATTCAACCCAAAATACCTTGTGTAGATCAATGGAATGAAGACTACCATCCTCTAACAAGAGGTATTGCCAAAATGATTAGAATATAAATATCAGTGCATATACAAATCAAACAATGAAGTTGATGAGACCACTTCTTGTCACATTATTTTAATTACACTGTATATTTGCTTATTAAAAATAATTTTGATGAGCTATTGAATTAGGTTTACAAGACATTTCCTCATTTGTTAATAAATAACCTGTTTGCATTCCATGATGCAACAATCAAAAAGCAAAATGAATGAGAGATTGATTGATATATCTCTCATTTTACTCTCTTCAAAAACTATTATATTATGGGATTAAAAACAAAAAGAGAACAATCTCAAATATTATTTATTTTTGATAGTGAAAAAATTTATGTGCCCATAACTTTTGGTTAAATTATTATTTTTATTTATACCAAATAGAAATTCTAAAAAAATTATTTTGAAAATGCATTTAAATAAAATGGTTAATTAAGAAAAAATTATCTCTGGTGTTGTAACCAATAGGTATAAATGCCAAGAGGAGATTTATTAGATAAATGACTGAGTAAAAATTTAAAGTGAGATATAATCAGATCATTTTGAGATTTAATGCTAAATGTAAGTAAATATTCAAAAATAACAGTAGACGAAAGATTTATTGTTGTGCCATCATGATTTCATATTAATGTCAAATTCTGCAAATATTGTCAAAAGAATCAGTAATGCCAAAGATGGATTGCTTTACATCTTTACTATTTGCCCATAGCTGAGAGACAGATGTGGATTTATCTCTTTATTAAAGTAATGTGAAGCAAATGCAAATATTGCCCAAAATGTGTTTTAAAAATTTTTACAGTATCTAATGTTATATTACTAATACTGATGATATAGATGAAATAAAAATTAATGAATTCTGATGTTTTTAAATTTTTTTATGAGCAATCTTGAACCAAGAAGTATCTTGTAAAAGACTTTTCACACATGTATATAACACCAACAAAAGATGAGTGACCAAGGTGTCTGAAAGATAATGCTTTTAAGGAATGTCCTCTTTGTAATTATTGTGCTCAATATCAAGAGATAAAACATTAATACTAACAAATATCTGTTGCTATCAAACTCCCTGATAAGTGGATGTAATCTCCCAAGAAAATCATTGTAAGAACAATAAGTAAATGTTTAATTTTATATATATATATATATATATTGAATCTACTTAATCACTATAGACTAGTTATTAATGGATATTTATTATTTCTTAGATTAATTCTTTTAAAATAGCATACAATTAAGCATTACCACTTTTTAAAATCATTCTGTCATTGAATCATGAACACATTTGATAAAGTTTTACATTAGGTTTTACTAGCTATGCTACTGAAAACTACTTTATACCTCTCTGAAATTAGATACTCCTAAAGTTCTTAATGGGTGACTTTCAGAAGACTTAGTTATTTCTTAATTTCTCTTCATGTATTTCTCTTAAGAGGAAATTAAAGCAAAACTTTTATGTTTCTATATATTGAAGATCTATCTCTTTTGTGTGTCAAATGTATTTTTGAACACTTTTATTTTGAAAGTCAATTACAGGCCAAATCAAAACTTTACTCTGTTTTCCCTGGTGCAATCAGCATGGACAATCATTTAAGCCATTATTTAATACTTTCCAAGGTTGGGACTTCTGCCTTTAAAGATGGCTTGTACAATGCTGGCATTTTCCCAAATGGTATAACTCAATTCTCAAATCATTTTTCATGGGTAATGATTTATATTTGCTAGTACTATTTTAGTATTATAAAACAAATTCTTTTTTTTTTAATTATTAAATATAAGCTGATGGAACATGCAAAATGGATGATCATTTAGAAATCTCTAATGATTTAAACTGTAAAAGAAAATGAACATAAGAAAAAGAAAAATCTTTTGGGGGACAGTTCAAAATAAATGATTGAAATTGAAGTTAATCAAGGTTATTCCCATGGAAACAGAATTGGTATCTATCAGCCTCTCTCAAAATTTGTACTATTAACAAATACATGTGAAGTATCTTACAAGTATCAACATATTTTTAAGATCATTTTTTGTTATAAATACATACAGCTTTTTATTAGTTTGTATATCATTAGTTTGTTTAGGAATATCAATTCTATTGAAAGCTTGCTTCTTTTACTCTTATCTGCTAAGTCCTTTCAGGACATGGTTGATCATGGCTTTCAAAACTTCCTGTCTCTTGTGGCCTTTAGCAGTTTTTCTCACTTTGCTAAGGTTTCCACACCCTTTTCTGCCATCCTTTCACACAAGTTTATCAGGTAGATGGCTCGCTGCCTTTCCCTATTTCTTTTTTCCTCAATATGCTCCTTTCTCATTGTGTGTCCATGGAATTTCAGATTCTGAGCATAAGTGTTGCCTTTTTCTATAAGACTTCATTGTTGCTTACTTGGAATTATTAGTATCCTTCTGTAGAACTACATTTCTGTTGCCTCTAGTTTCCTCTTCATCTGTGGTGAGATTGTTTAGCATTCACTGCTATATAAGAGGATGGATATCATATAGCATTTTTTTTCTGTTTTTCAGCACTTTGCTTAAATTTTGGAATGTCACTTTTACCAGTCCAATGTGTGTTCAGATTTCAGTGTTGCATTTTTTTTATCTTCTGTTACAACACTACCTAGATATTTAACTGGTTGGCATAAAATAATCCATCAGGATTTATATGCCACTAAACAAAATCTAACCAACCAACCAACCAACCAGCCAAGGTATTTAACCTTCTGTACTTGCTTGATGTTGACATCTCTAATTTGTAAATCACATCTTAGGCCTTTTATTCCTTGCTGATGACTATACTTTTTGTCTTCTTGCAGTTGATGGTTGCTCCTTTTTCTTCACTTTCTTCTATAATCCTGTCTGGGAAATCCTGTAATTTTCTTTCCATGTCAGCTATCAACACAGTGTCATCTACATCTCTTGTATTGTTCAGATTGCACCCACCAATAATAAATCCTTGTCTTATGCTCCTTTCTATTTTTATAAAACTACTCAATTTATTTTCTAACTGTATGCAGGCAGTTTGTTTATAAGTTCTGCATTATTCTAACATTCTTTCTAAACAGATCTAGTTTTCCAAGTATGTCTAATAGATCCTTGTGCCATACTTTGTCAAATGCTTTTGCATTATCTATAAAACATAAGTGCACATCCTTCCGCATTTGTATTTCTCTCTCTGACATCATTCTAACTATAGATATTGCATTTCTTGTTAGAGTGTCCTTGATGAAGCCACACTGTTCTTCTCTTATTTCTGGGTTTAATTCTGCTTTGCACTTTACTCATC